AGCTGATCGCTCACCTTCCATATCACTGTCCTCTTACGAGCTTCCTCAACTGTTGCAGGAACTACTCGGAGAAACCTGCAGATGAAAGCCTCAGTGCGCTCTCCCCACGCGAACTCCCAGGCAAACTCCTGCTGTTAGCCTCTGCTGTTCGCCACTCAGCTGGTTCGCTGCTGACTGCCCTTATATACCAAAGCGTGGCTCTGTGTCCCTTCAGGGTGACTGTATTAAGGAGAAAATTTGAAAGTGTTCTCCCTAGTACCTTTCTGTAGGGACTAGGGCATGAGTGGGTCAGGCCTCAGGGTTAGAGAGTCAGAATCTAGGAACCAGAGCCGGGGTCAGAGCCAGAGTCAGGAGTCAAACCAGGGGTCAAAGCCGTAGTCATCATCAGGGGTAGGACTCTAGATTCATCTGATCTCTTCTGACAGATTGCGACACATCCCTAGCCTTTCGACCGAGAACGCTTTATCCCCAGCTCTCAGGTGCTTTGTTTAGGCTTTGTGATTGAATTCAGTCTTTGATGTAACAGGGCCTGAGCCATTAATTGCTTTGAAAATTAGGACCAAAGCCTTAAACCGGCCTCAGAAGCTGACCAGGAGTCAATGGAGGGACTTGAGCACAGGCTGGATGTGCTCCTGGTGGTCTAGGCCATGGAGGAGGCAGGGTATTACAGTAATCCAGCCGGTGGGTGACAAATGCATATTGTACTGTAGCCAGGCCCTCATTCAGGAGGGAGGGACGAAGTTTCTTCATGAGCTGCAGGTGGAAGAAGCATTTTTAGTCACTGGTCATCCAAGCTGAGTGAGGAGTCAAACAGGACTCTGAGGCTTTGCAACACTCTGATGAATGGGGGCTGTGCAATGTCAATGAAAGGTGGAGCCGTGGCTTGGCCAGCTCTTCAGAGCATTTCCTTTTCTGATCAGCATCACTTGGGTCGTTCCTGGGGTCAGCTTGAGCCAGGTGCTCTGTATCCGAGAGCTGATCTCATGCAGGGAGGCAAGGCTGGAGGCTGGTGTGGGGGATCAGGTTTCAGAAGAGAACAAGATTGGTGCAGGCCCAGAGGTGCAGAAATACAGATCTGGGACTGGTGAGCGGGGACCAACAGCAGAGCCTCATCATAAAGCTCTGTTTCTAACACCTCTGCCTGTTTGCAGCATCCCTTATTGCTAATTAAACACCTGTCTCTTGTTCTTCAAAGAAGCTGCCTTTGCATATTTAAACTCCTTGCCTATCTTCCCCTATTCCTTAAAGGTTTTCTGTATCTGTGGACTCTGGTGTTCCTGTGAAGGAACTGAGGGAATTGAGGCTGCACCTTTCTTGGGCACTTAATGTTCATTGCCACACAACAGCATTTGTGCAGTCCCCCTAGTCACACATTCCCAGAAAGTTCCAGCATCTTGTGTAGCAGGGGGTACCTTTCCCAGGAGGGTATATGCAACGACAACCACCCAGAAAGAACTATAGTTACTGGTAAATAGCCTTTGTGTGTGTACCCAACAGTCTGTCGGGGCATCATTTGCTTGGGATTTGAACATAATTCTGACTTGGCTCATGGGTTTCATCCTTTAAACTTTTCACAGACTTTGCTTTTTTATCACCTATCTCTGAAGATAGCATTTCTGGTGGCAATAACATGCGCCTGAACTGTGAGAGTGATTCAGCATCTCGTGGTTCGTGTGCCCATTACAAGTGATTACAAGGATAAAATTGTTATGACCTAAATTCTTGCTCAGAGCGCTGTCAAACTTTCATCTGCAGCAAACAGTTATCCTGCCAATGTTGGTTCTGAAGCGACTTAGGACAGACTATATAACTGTTTTTTTAGATGAGGGAAATGCAGATCTAATATACTTGGACTTCAGTAAAGCATTTAGCCTAGTACCACACAGGAAATTATTAGTTAAATTAGAGAAGATGGGGATCAGTACAAGAATTGTACAGTGGATAAGGGACTGGCTAAAGGGAGATAGCAAGGGGTTGTGCTAAAAGATGAACTGTTGGACTGGAGAAAGGTTACTAGTGGAGTTCTTCTAGTTGGTCTTGGAACCAATCTTATTCAATATTTTTATGAATGACCTAAACACAAACAGTAGGAGTGTGCTGATATTTGCTGATGATACGAAGTTGGGAGGCACCATCAATACACAGGAGGATCAGAACGTTACAGGGGGATCTGGGTGACTTTGAAGACCTGGAATGACAGAAATGGGATGAAATTCAGTAGTACAAAATTCAAAGTCATGCACTTGGGTCTAATAAGAATTTCTGCTACAAGTTGGGAGCCCTTCAGTTGGAAGTGACAGAAAAGGAGAGAAACCTGGGTGTGGAGGTCGATCAGTGGATGACTCTGAGCCACCAATGTGATGAAGCTGCGAAAAAAGGCAAATGCGATCCTAGGGTGTATCAGGTGAGGCATCTCCAGGAGAGAGAGAGAGAGTGTAATGCCATCATACAAGACACTGGTAAAACCTCATATGGAATACTGTGTACAATCCTGGGCGCCCATGTTCAAGAAAGATTAATTTAAACTGGACCAGGTGCAGAGAAGAGCTACTAGGATGATCAGGGGAATGGAGGGCCTGTCTTAAGAGAGAAGAGTGGAGGAGGTTGGCTTGTTTAGCCTGGCAAACAGAAAACTGGGGGGGGGGGGAGGTGTGAATCTGATTGGTCTCGATAAACGGGGGGTAAACACCAGGGAGGGTGATGAGCTATTGAAGCTGAAGGGCAGTGTTGGCACAACCATAGGTACTAACTTTTCTTTTTCCCTGGGGGTGTTCCACCCCCTCTCTACCGCGAGGCCCTGCACCTACTCTGCTCCCTCTCCGAGGCCCTGCTCACTGTGCCTCTTCCCGGCCCCACTTCTCCCCTCCCCGAACAAACTCACGCTGGAACAAACCCCAAACAAACCTGGCCATGAACAAACTCAGGCTGGAAATTAGAAGCAGGTTTCTAACCATCAGAGGAGCGAGGTTCTGGGGCAGCCTTCCAGTATGAGTTGTGGGGGCAAACAACTTAATTAGTTTTAAGAGAGAGCAGGACGAATGCAAGAGTATGACTGTATGACAGGACTGTTGGTGATAGTAGGGGTCAAGGCTCAGTGGTTCTGGGGCTCACTTTCAGCTTATGCCTTACATTCCTAACAATCTCGTGCTTCAGGGCTGAGATTGTTCACTGCAGGGGTCATGAAGGGATCCTCTGGCCAATGCATCCTGGTGGTTTCTGTCTCCTTCCTCTGAAGCATCAGGAATGGCCCCGTGTGGAGATGGGATACTGGACTGAGTGGTCTAGTGCTCTCAGATGGCACTGAGCATTCTCTTTCTCAGGTGTGTGGCTGGCTGGCTCTTGCCCACATGCTCAGAGTCTCACTGATTGTCATATGTGGGGTTGGGAAGGAATTGTCTCCCAAGTCAGACTGGTGGTGATCTTGGAGCTTTTTCCCCATCCTCTACACATGTGGGTGTGGGTCACTGCCAGGTTATCTGCGTATATGTCACTTAATCATTTCCCTGCCATTACAGTGGCCTCAGGCACTGGTGCCCTGCAGTCCCTCCTGTTCTCTCCCTGTGGCACGGCACAGTCTCGTCTCCTGAGGGCTGTGATGCTTTGGTCTGATTTTGGCTGTAGGGTTTAGTGTGCAGAAGCTGGGTGGGGTTGGTGGCCTGTGATGTACAGGAGATCAGACTGGATGATCTGGCGGTCCCTCTGGCCTTACGCTCTCTGACTCTGTGTAAAGGGGGCTGTAAATTACTCCCATGGGCAGAATTAAGCCTATTGCAAATCATCCTAGTGGGTTGTTGCATGTGGAGATAAGTCTAACGAGCAAGAGATTTTTGGCCCAAAGGCTATTTAAACAGATGACATTTTATGTTCAGACTTATTACAGCCAGAAAGGGTTGCAGGTACCAGATGTTAGGACTCACTGTGCTAGGGCAGTACCAACTCTGGCAGCTTGTCTTTATAATGCTTTAATAGTCTGAATGTGTAAGACGGCTCTACATAAAGTTCAATTCATACTTTTCCTCTACGGTCTCAATTGGATGCTCATTTCTGGAGACTAGTCCTTCACTTGCTGTCTACTTAATCACATATTAGCCCTCCTGAGGATTGCTAGTGGTGTCTAGTTTCCCAGGAGTGAGGATGAGTAGCAGCAATTCCTTGAAGGAGAAAAAGGGATCCTAAGTAGTCACTAGAATTCTCTGCATGGGTTTCCTGTTCAGATCGACATTCAACCTCTCTTCTTTCCTTGCTCCTTTGAGTATTATGAGAATCTTTGCCATACTACAAGCTGGTTAATGGGCAGAGCTTTATTTAATCTTGGTTTAGAGTGTTATGGCCATTGTCTGGAGCAGGCTGCCCCCAACAGCTACCTGCTTTGAAACGGTTCCAGGGTCTGCACAGCTTGGAACAAGTATAACACAGGTCTGTGGCTTTGCCAAGGCAAGTCCTGCAGAGAGTTCAGTTACTGGTAAATAACCGAGAGTAAATGTTTTCCTAACAAGCTCCAGGCGTGAGAATTTTTCAGCAGCAACTACAAGCCCCGAATTTAATCCCCAGCTAGTAGTAGAAGCATCACCACTCAACCTCCTCTGAGCTCTGCGTTCTCTGCCACCTTCTGAGTGTAGGAGTCATTGCAGGAGGAATGTGGGTCGCTGTTGGCACCAGGATGCTACCTCAAAGGTGCTAGCTGTGTACACTACTTTTGGGCCAAGCCAGGAGGAGTGCTGGTTGTGGCAGTGCGCCATAGCAAATGGCTGTTGCTAGCCCATGTGGTATAGCAGTTTCCTCTGTGCTAGCAGGCCTGGTCTTTCCTGGGGAATAGTGCAGCTCAGAATCATTCACTCCTCCCTTCCTCTCTTTTCAGGTGGCCATCATTGCAGGAAATTTTGAACTGGCTGAAATCATCAAAACCCACAAAGAGTCTGACGTTGGTGAGTTTGGCCTTTCACCCTATTTTCCCCTCTTATCTCACTTTAGGTCCTGCGATATTTCCGTGGTTCTCATTTCCCAGTGCTGCCTAGGGAAACCAATGGAGCTACTGTAACGGGGGTCTGGCACTCCCTGTGGGTTTTGGGTGCTGGGACTTGTGTGGGTGGTTGCTGTGGGGGTGTTTGTGCTGTCCATGGGGATAGGGGAAGGGTTGACTGTGTCAGTCTGTGTGGCAGCCTAAAACTGTCACTGTTTGCGGTTAGTATGTTTGGTGGACTGTTTACTCTGGCTGTTTTGGTTGCTGTACCAAAGAGTATAAACAGACTGTCGGGCATTTAGCAAGTTGGACTGTCTCTCCAAAACTCTGTTTTTCAATTCCACATCCTCTCTTGTGTGCTTGGGGCAGTTAGTCCCCACGGGGAATCGCTCATGCTAAAGCCCTGCAGCTGGACTCGGTGCAGGGGAGAGGAATGCTGCCCACCTCAGGCCACCATTGCTGGGCTGCTGTTGCTGCAGCAGCCTCCATTCTAGTTGCACTCACCCAGGGCTCTTGCCTCACTTACGCAGGGAATGTGCCAAGTCCTGGGGGGAGGGATAGCTCAGTGGTTTGAGCATCGGCCTGCTAAACCCAGGGTTGTGAGTCCAGTCCTTGAGGGGGCCACTTAGGGATCTGGGGCAAAAAAAATCCGTCGGGGGATTGGTTCTGCTTTGAGCAGGGGGTTGGACTAGATGACCTCCTGAGGTCCCTTCCAACCCTGATATTCTATGATTCACTGGGGCATCCCCATTCCTTGCAATATCTCTGCAGCCCTACACAGAGAACCCCTGCAGAGCTGAGCTCAATACTCTGCATAAAGCCAGGCCCCATGCTGAACTTCCTCTAGTTCTCTCCCTGAGAAATCCTCTCCCTGAGAGAGAGACGGGTGGTGCCGGAGTCCTTTAGAGCAATGGAGGAGCTGATAGGCTTTACTCGTGGGAGAGGGTTAACTCCACACAGTGGGTCAAATGCCTGCTCTGAGCAGAGGGTGCAGGGGTGTCCCGGCAAAAGGAGATGCAGTGCTGGACGTCCTGGAGTATGGACCTTCAAGTAGATGTTCAAGCAAATACGAGCTTGCATCATTTGTGAAAAGGAGTGTTAATGCTGCCAAAGGGCCTCGGGGAAATCTGAAGTCTTCCTATAAGTATATCAAGCAGAAGTACTGGCAAGAAAGCAAACACAATAATGAATGACGAATGAGATTGCATTCATGATTATTATAGAATGGCTGAGCTACTGAACTGCTTTATTAAATCTCTTTCTGTTGAGAAAAGAAGTAGGAAATCATCTGATTAATTAAGAAGAAAACGCTGACTTTGTATGTACTGTATAGCTGCTGATATGAAGTAGGTCAGATAATACTTGGGATACTGAACATACACAAACCAGCAGGTCCAGATGGCAGGCACCTGCAAGTCAAGGGAATTAGCTAATGAACTTTCCAAACACTAGAAATTATTTTTTAAACATCCATTGAGAACTGGGAAGATACCAAAGGATTAGAAAAACACAAAGATGGTGTTGATCATGAAGAAAGGGGGAGAGCATGAACCGGCTAGTTATCATCTCATTTGCCTACTATCAATGTCTAGTAAGGTAATGGAACATATACTAAAAGAAAGAAAAGTTCACTGCGTTTCTAGGTTAATGGAGTCCTGAGCAATAAGAGCAGGAACTTATAAAGGATAATTTTTGAATAATGCTTCTACAGGTCCCCGCTGTCAGGGCTGCACATGCCTGGCTGTGTGCCAAGAACTGTCAGTGGAGCTGTGAACACAAGCCGTGGACCTCACAAATGAGACCCGCCATGTATGGCAGTAAAAGGGGGTCATGATCAGCAATCATCTCCGTAACTTTCTGCGACTGGACACTCTCCCAGCTCAGAACCCATCAGGCTGTTCTCTAGGTTCTTATTTTCTTTTTTAGAGAGATTCAGCCCCTTGAATTTGATTTGTACACCTTTGATCTGGGGCAGGGCAGTGTAGAGTTCAAGGTAGAGGAGAGGGGAACTGTTTATTTCACCAGATTCACTGGGGTTGAAGCTGCTTCTACTGAAAATGTGTCTGTGACTCCAGGTGAAGCTGGTTGGTTCTGATCCTGTCAGCTCATCTTTCTTGGCATGGACGGCTTGAAATCCTCTGACAGTGGATATGCCCTGTGAGGAAAGGGATCTTTGCAGACACTATTGAAGTTGGGCTAGTCTGTCTTTTCTGTCACACTCTTTGAGGGTCTGCAGAAGAGGAGAGGTGGGAATTGGGACTGCTCTCTTCTCTCCGGTTGGTTAGAACTGAGAGGCTGGATTGTACATAGAATCTCGTCACTCCCAACATGATCACTCTCCAGGTTCCCTCCGCACGATCGATACATTGGATTGTGGAGGAGGTGCAGACTCTGCCCTCACCTGAACTGTGACCTTCAATGACACAGCACAGAGGTGAAGATAACTTCTTATTCCCTTGGTTCTCCTCATTTAAGGGGGGTGTGTGTGGTGGGGCGGGGGAGAGGGAGAGAGATTTATAGAATCATAGAAATCTAGGGCTGGAAAGAACCTTGAGACGTTATCAAGTCCAGCTCTCTGCACTGAGGCAGGACCAATAAACCTAGACCATTGGTTCTCAACCCCGCCCCAATCAGCATACAGCTGCAACCTATGTGATATCCTCAGGGCCATAAATGTAGTATCTATATTGCGTGGATGCGGCCCACGTAACACATAGAGAGCTGCGTATATGGCCCACAATGGTAAATATATTGAGAACCACTGACCTAAAACAATCTGTTTGTCTAGCCTGTACTTAAAATCATCCAATTAGTTAGTTAAACAGATATTAAAAGGTACAGTGCCAAAAGTGAAATCCCTGCAAGCTACATGTAAACTTTTTAAAGACACCATAATAGAGGCTAAAATTAAATGTATACCCCAAATTAAAAAACATAGTAAGAGAACCAAAAAGGTGCCACTATGGCTAACAACAAAGTAAAACAAGCAGTGAGAGGCAAAAAGGCATAATTTTAAAAATGGACGTTAAAGTCTAGGAATGAGGAATGAGGAAAATAGAAAGGAGTATAAACTCTGGCAAGTGAAGTGTAAAAATATAATTCTGCGGGCCAAAAAAGAATATGGAGAACAGCTAGCCAAAGACTCAAAAAGTAATAGCAAAATTTTTTTTTTAAGTACATCAGAAGCAGGAAGCCTGCTAAACAAGCAATGGGGCCACTGGACGATTGAGATGCTAAAGGAGCACACAAGGACGATAAGGCCATTGCGGAGAAACTAAATTAATTCTTTGCATTGGTCTTCATGGCTGAGGATGTGAGGGAGATTCCCAAACCTGAGCCATTCTTTTTAGGTGACAAATCTGAGTAATTGTCACAGATTGAGGTGTCATTAGAGAAGGCTTTGGAACAATTTAATAAATGTAACAGTAATAAGTCACCAGGACCAGATGGTATTCACCCAAGAGTTCTGAAGGAACTCAGACGTGAAATTGAAGAACTACTAACTGAAGGATCGCTAATGTGATGCCAATTTTTAAAAAGGGCTCCAGAGCTAATCCCAGCAATTATAGGCTGATAAGCCTGACTATATTAAAGAACAGAATTATCAGACACACAGATGACCATTTGTTGGGGAACAGTCAACATAGTTTTTGTAAAGGGAAATCGTGCCTCGTCAATCTATTAGAATTCTTTGAGGGGGTCAACAAGCATGTGGACAAGGGAGATCCAGTGGATATAGTGTACTTAGATTTTCAGAAAGCCTTTGACAAGGTTCCTCACCAAAGGCT